GTGGCAGCAACAATAAAGTTATGCCTTCTTTCTTTGCGTGAACATTTGGGCGCTGTTATGCAAATCTTCCCACACAGTGACGTAGACATGTGGGGGCGTGTTAGAACGAGCCGTTTTAGGAGGGCGTGGACCAGTCTTAACTTTTATAAAGAATATCTCTTTGGGTTTGAGACTTTAGTTTTTGCAACTTTAGGGATCTTATCTATTCACGAACAGCTTGCAACACTCCAAAGAGAAAGGAAAACTTGAAATCGCATCATATGACCCCTTTAATACCTTACCTACCTCTGAAACCACCTTTCTTTTTGGCTGACGTCGGCATTCCCTGTTGTTTTAACTCCTCCCATCGAACGACCTCTGTCAAATATAAATTCTGATTAAAAAAAAAAAACAGGTCGCGCCTATATATCCATCATTGAATATCTTCTTGTTTGACCCATTTTAAAAGCGTTTCCTGAAGAAAGAAACAAAGAGAGGTTAAATTAGCAGGTGAATCAGTAGTGCAGGGGATGAAACACTACACAAACACACACAGGTGTACTGATACAACACTATCTGATGTAAAATAGGCCTTGTAGATCTGCAGTCTTACGTGCTTTTGTTAGCCATGAGCTCAAAAATCTTTAAATTGTCATAAAAGAAAAACTAAAGAAACTTTGTGATGTGCCTCTGTTTATTGTGCAGGTTCTTAATGATAAGTGATTGTACTTTGAGTCACACACAAAATCACCATGTGCTATGTTTCCACGATCAGGTGTTCCCGATATAGTGCCATGTTTAAATAATAAAAACTCTTCACGTCTTCCCATACAAAAAGTGTGTTAATGGCAATAAAAAGAATACAGTTCCACAATGCTGTGTTTATAGACAATTGCCCTTCAGCAAATACTGTTCTTTCATAAGTGCAACTTTTGCTTGTCTGTGTCATTCCAGACATAGAGCCTTCAGTATCATCAATCTAAAACATATGAAAACATGAGAAAGTTCCTGAACGCTGTGTGACGGTGGCTTTGACTTGCAACAGAATGGGAACTCCAGTCACCAAACAGTGATCATTTGCTGAGTTCTTGTTCGTTTCACTTGTTCATGTATACAGTGATAAAATAATAAAAACCCTGCGGGATGTTCTCATGAAAAAAAAATTACATTCCTCTAAAGTTTATAACATGACCTTAAACAAGTTCAGTCAGGCCTATATTATGCTGGTGCAAGTTTGTATGTGATACTTTAAAATAATGATACAAATAAAATATTTCTGTAGACCTGGTGGGACTTTATAAGAATGGAAGCATTTCAGAAAACAGCACAGGAGAAAAAAGGACACGCGGTGCCTCAGGCTCCTTTTATGTTATATATAGTAAAAGCCCAACCCCCAGGACTCTTGCTGTACTCTTTTGACATTCTCATGGATGGAAAACAAAGACTTTATGATAAATGCAATTGTATACGAGTTAGGAACTCTTGAGGCACTTTACAAGTAAAGTATTCCCAACTTTTGTTGTTCTAAAATAAGCTGAAGCAAATATGTTGCGTGACCGTTTCCTTTGCATAACTATCATTATGAATATTTTTTATAAATAATTAAATATGCTATTATGAATATAATTTTGTTTTTCCAAAATCATATGAAATAAAACACCATATTCAAATGTATCATTTTTCCTTTTTATTTACTTAAATGGGATTAACAAAAAATATGCATGTCACAAATTTCAAAAACAACAAAAATCTATAAAAATACATTGATTCAAAATGAGTGCCATAAACAATCACTATGTTTAAACCTGAAGGTATACTTTCTCATAATCTGGAAATGAAGCAAGTCTGTAGTATTTTTTGGAATGTGTGTAAGGACACTTCAGGGAGTCACAAAACACTAGGAAAGCTTAACGTGACAATCCCTGTAGTCGTTCACCGTTTCATCTAAATCAACAAAAAAGGCACCTTGGGTACAACATGGCTCTGTAATTTATCCCATTCATTTGTAAAGCTAACCGTCAAGGGCTGCTTGAGCCCTGCATTGCATACATTACCTCAAGTCACAGGCAAAAACGACGAAGAAAAACAACGGTTTTGCTCAAAAGTTATCCGTGGTTTACATTCAGCGAGACATTAAGACCTTCCAGGTCACAGACTCGAGCTCTGTCGAGCCAGATGAAACTTATACCA